GGGCGGGGTACACCCTGGACAGGTTGCAAGTCCATCACAGGGCCTTGTACTACTATAAATGTAATATTTGTTGTCTGTCATTGTAGCTGGGATAATTTGACTTATTAAAGCTCATAATCTTACCACTTGAAACATCACTAGCCCTGAAGCTGCTGGTAGACATCGCGGTTGGAATTATCAAAGGTTTTTGACACCTGAGAGACACCGTAGCAACTCCTTTGTGCTTTGAAGCGGGGAGAGGGGGTGGGGGGAGGACCAGGGAGGATGATTCAACCACTCAACCACTAGATGTCGCTGAAAACAACAAATCCTACACGCTGTGCCTTTAAGATCAATTTTGAATTTATACTAAATTCCTAAATTTGTTAGTTTCAATGGCAGCTAATTCCAATAAGAAGCGGCTCTATACAACACAGTGTTTTTCAATGCACTTGTTCTTGGAAGAGTAAAGGAAACAGAAGCTCGTCTTGTATTGAAAGTCTGTCTGTTTGAAGTGGGTAACAGTTGAGAGAAAAGGTTAAAAGGTTTTTGTAATATTCTAATTTTATATGAGAGAAGCAAAAGGCTATAAAATACAAGTGTAATGGAAACTATAACATGGTTTCATGTGAGTTCTGAGTTCAGGTTCTGGATAAATTCCTCACGTTAGTTTCTTGTTAAACAAGCAGAAGTAGACCTCTGTTCAGCTCAGAAACAGACTGACGTCACTGGTTTACATCAAACAGTCCAGCTGCTGAGAAAAGCTTCAGCCTGCTCAGGTCTCATGTTTGAGATGTTGTTTCTTCCTCGTGTATCAGAGGGGAGGAGCCTGACGTTAGAAGAGGCGTGGCGCTGCGTCCACCCGAGCTTCAGGCTCCGCCTCCAGAGCTGTCCTCTGAATGCAATAAGTCAGCAGGTAAAACTGGACCTCCTGTGTTTCTGTGTGAAACTCTGGATCTGTGGTGAGAACCGTGTCTGTTCCTCAGGAGCATCCTCTGCTGGGTCAGCCGTTCTTCTTCCTCCACCCCTGTAGAACAGAGGACTTCATGAGGCCTGTGCTGCGGGCGGCTCAGGACCAGCACAGGTGGGTGAGGACTCTGCCGGCATGGGCTTTATGAAGTTAGGATTACCTGCTAAAACCTTAAACTGCACTCAGGGGTTTTAAACAACAACCTGATGATGATCATGAAGCAGAAAAATCACTTAAAACAGCATCAGTGAAGAAGAAACAATTAAGCTTTTAATATGGTAATAAAATAAAATGAGCCCTCAGTAATAAAGAAACTCAATATTTATCAAATACCTGCTAGTACTTTTCATGTTTAACTGTATACATCTTTGACTCGACTAAGAATTGTGGAAACTCTGGAGTTTATTTAAAAAGTATTTCTCCAAACAGCTGAACTTGATTCACTTTGTTTTGTTGAGTGGAGATCATAAATGTTTTCTTCTTTCATATGAAGGCCATCTCCACAAATAACAGCTATTTTTAAACAAAATAGCTAAATCACATTTATGTAAATGACCTGAAATCTGTTCTTATAATTGACCTGAGCAGTGATGATTTTATAGTGAATAAATAAAACAAATAAAAAGCATTAACTGATAGTTTTAGTTCCAGTGTGGATGAGTGTTTCAGTGTATTAGGATGTTTTTCTAAACAATCATGAAGTTAATTTTATAATTTAATGATGATGTGATTTGTGAATATAATAAACAAAAATCTCAGCAGATTAAAATAAGCTTTTCTGAAGTTTAGTTGCTGATGGGATTGAAACGGTGTTTGTTCTTCAGTTGGCCACCAGGTGTCACTGTTCTCTGTCAGACTTATAGATTTGAATATACATCAGTAGATGTGTCTGTGACAGCATGGAGGAGCAGAAACAGACCTAACAGCACAACAGCTCACAGCCTCCATAGAAACTAATAGATAAACAGCAGCTGAACTGGATCTGTTTCACAAATTATCTGTCATGTTTTTACAATAAATTAATAACTATGTTAATCTCGTTCAACAATCATGAAAAACAGCAGATTTATACCAGAAAAAATATGTGATTTAAAAGTAACAATGATCTAAAC